TTTGACCCAAATTTTCTTTGAGAGCATCACAAGAGGTTGAACTACACACTGGAATAAAAAAATAAAAAATCAATTTTAGTCAAATTGGTTCTGGAGGACATTGGTAGTGTCGCCCAGCCTAGACTGAGCGACACATCCAGTGTCGCCCTACCACTTTTGCCCCAAAATTGAAAATTTTTTATTTTGTGATGTTTTTACCCATTTTCCTCTGGCAACACTAGGCGTGTCGCCCAGATCAGTACCTTCAAAAGTGGTTTTTTTGGATGAGGATCTAGTGGTCATGAGAACTTATCCTTTCCAACAGATCCTTGATCCCTATAAGATGTCTTTTCGTGGCCATTTGAGGCACGACTTCAGAGAGAGAAAAACCCAATAGAAGAAGATTGAAACCCTAGGAAAGTTAAGCCTGAGAAAACCTAGACCTAAGGCACAACAACCTTAGATCTAAACTATCTTTAGGGCATAACAACCCTTCTACACCATAGATCTGCTGGTCAACATTTGAATTAAAGAGGCAAAGAGGACGTTGGTGCTGATATGGGCGAGCCCTCGAAGGCTTGGGAGTCCCAGGCCATCCAGCTCAGTTTGGTATTGTTTCTTCACTTTTCATTCTTCTTCTTTTTATTGTTTTCATTTCATTTTGATCTTATTTTGCTTAAGTTTGCTTTAAAAATCGTGTTTTAGTGTCTTGGATCATGCTGACTTTACCACATATCTGAAAGTATGTTTGTTCGTTTCTAGTGAGATCTCGCCTCAGATCTGAATTCGATTTATCCCACCACTGCATTTTCATCAGTTTAAGGTGTTAAGATCCGAGAGAACTTGGTCGGAAGATCTGTCAGATTTTCATCGTAAACAATCATTATGAGATTATTTCCTTTCTTTAATCACATTTCCTACACCTCTTGTCAATACGGATGACTCATCTAAATGCACATCTCAGCTTGTAACTATCTTTAATCTCATTTCCGGCATATGGCATTCACTAGATGATGGGACATAAGGTTGAAAATCAATTTACTGGGTGTCATTATGAGATTCTTTCATTTCTTTAATCTCATTTCCTATACTTCTTGTCAACACAGATGACTCATTAAAATGCACATCTCGGCTTGTAATTATCTTTCGAGCACTTGGATCCCATAACCGATATCATTTCACACATTTGTTATATCCAACAAAAATGCATTTCTTTGATTTTGGTTCAAGCTTATTTGTTTGGCAACTAGGAATTAAAATATAAGCATCACAACCAAAAATCTTTAAATCGAAATAATAACAAGGAGTTTTGGACCATACCTCTTGGGGTGTTTTCTCCCCCAAAGCCGCTGAAGGTGATCGATTGATGAGATAACAAGTCGTCATCATGGCTTTGGCCCATAGCTCTTGTTCCAATCCGGCATTGCTCGACATGCTTCTTGCTCGCTCCATCAATGTGCAATTCATCCTTTATGCAACACCATTTTGTTGGGGAGTGTAAATCGTGGTGAAATGTCTCTTGATTCCTTCATCTTTACAAAATTTTATAAACTCATCAAAATTGTACTTCTTCCTATTGTCGGTACGAAGTGTTTTGATGTGGCGCCCCGTACTCTTCTCAGCTTCGGCCTTTAAATGATTGAAGGCAAAAAATGCATCACTCTTTGATTTAAGAGTGAACACCCATACCTTCCTTGAGAAGTCATCTATAAATAAAATAAAATATAATGTATCACCATATGACATTATGGGTGAGGGGCCCCATAAATCCGAGTGAACATAATCAAGTATTCCCTTGCTTGTATGGCTTCCGGCTTTGAAAATTCATTTATGTTGTTTTCCATAGACATTGCTCACAAAATTGGATTGTCCAAATTTTATGGTGGGAATTAGCTTCCTCTTCATCAAAATCTTCGTACCCTTTTCACTCAAGTAGCCCAACCTCCTATGCCATAAGCATAGTGGAAGATCATTACTCTCCACTACCGAATTTGCCGCATCATCAACAATGGAGCTTCCCAATAGCTTATACAAGTTCCCAACTCTAACAGCCTTGATCACAACAAGAGCACCCTTAGATACTCTGAGAACCCCCGCTTGTCCAGTGAATTTATATCCATGGTAATCCAATAAAAAAAGAGAAATTAAACTTTTCTTCAAGTCCGGTACATGTCGAACATGCTCAAGTGTACATATACTTTCATCATACATCCTTAATTTCACCTTGTCAATCCCAACCATTCTACTACTTGAATTTTTTCGATCAATACAGAACCACCATCACATGGTTCATATGAACTAAACCATGACTTGTGTGGACACATATGATGTGTAGCACTACTATCCAAAATCCAATTTTGATGGAATTCGGGATTGTTACCCACGACATAAACCTCTTCTTCAATAAAATCGAATGTAGATCCCTCCATTTGATTTACCTCATTTTTGGACTCATTGGTTTCCCTTGCTTTTTCAAACTTTAGTCCTTTACTTTTTGTACAATTTTTTTTCATATGTCTGGCTTCACCACATCCCCAACAAACAAACTTGTTTTCTCGGCCTTTAGACTTGGATCGAGCTTTCGACTTAGATCTAGAAGAATTTCGATAGGAGTTACCTCTCTCACTTGAACGACCCCTTGAAAAGTACATTTTCGATTCCGATTCTCCAATAGATGTCTTTTTTCAAAGTTCATGAGCAAGCAAAGTACTAATCAACCAACTTAAGTCAAGTGAACTTTCTCTTTCTTTAGTGCAACTTAATGTTGTCACTAAATTATCATAAGATTCCGGTAAAATACGTAACAAACTTTCCGCCTTGTTCTCACCTTTCATTTTTTCACCAACACTATCGAGTTCACAAATAATGTTATTGAAAGTGTTCAAATGATCAGAAACTTTTGTCCCCTCTTTCATCTTTAAAGCAAACAATTTTATCTTTAATAGAACACGATTCGTAAGAGATTTGTTTTGATAAATACTTTCCAATTTCTCTCACAAGTCCTTTCCCGTCTTCTCTCCCACTATATTGAATAAAAACCTTATTTGCTAAGCACAATCGAATTGTAGCCATAGCCTTAAGGTCAATTTCCTCCCAATCCTCATTAGTCATGGACTCTAATTTCTTTTCCTTTCTGAGTAATATTTTGTATAACCCTTGTTGGACCAAAGATCATGAACTTGAATTTTCCATATCTCAAAATCGTTTTGTCCATCAAATTTCTCCACCTCAAATCGATTACTCACTATTTTCCAAAATATATTGTACAAAACCTAATGCTTTGATATCACTTGTTAAGGCTCTGAATACCTGAAACCCCAATTTAACCGATCATCGAATATCACACACTTAATACCAAATATGTAAAATCGATAATCCAATAATAACCTCAAGGACCGTGTGCAACAATTTAAGAAAATAAATTAAAGATGGAAAACATAGTCATGAGAGAAAATTAGAGAGAAACCATAACACCAATTTAACGTGGTTCACCCCGTAGGGCTACGTCCACGAGCAAGCCGGCAAGTATTCCACGATCAAAAGAGAAATTTACAAGGGATACGATATTACCTCAAAAGGAGAAAAATGGAGGAGAAAATTGATGAAAAAACATTACCAAGAATACCGTCCTTGTGATCACCCAAAACCACGATTTACCCCCCTTCACTTTGAATGACCCAAGAACATGAGCAATATAAGCTCATACAATTTCTCCTAATAATAGGAAGAGAAAATTCTTCTTCACCTCCTTCTCTTTCTCAACACAACCTAAGGAAGCGCTAACCCCTTTTTTAAAGAGAGAGGAGTTAAAAAAACAAGAAGAATCATGTCACTCAAAAAATCCCTTTATTTTAGATTTCATATTGTAGTGACAAAAAAACCCCTAAACAAATAGTAAAAGACAAAAGCAAAACAAAAAATGATTTTTTTATCACTATTCATCAACAGATCATGAGGAAAAAGTTTAAATTCATCTACATCGCATTTTCTTTCGTTTTCTTTCTTTTTCTTTTCTTTCTCCAAAGATTGACTCCTCCATAACGGGTTTAAAAGCAAAAACAAAAAAAGGAAAAAAAAAAGAAAAAAGAAAAAAAAACACCGAGGACCATCACCACAAAGCCTTCTCTTCATTGTATACATCTATTTATTTAAAATTCTGCACGTTTGTGCCATACTTTATTCTTTTCATTTTATTTATTTATTTTACCTGAGACCTGCGGGACGGGGAGCATGTTTAGATTTACAATATATCATCCGAAAAAAACCTTAGAAATTTCCGTATTTTTTAGTTATTTACAACATAAAAAAAGAGGAATTTTTGATGATTTATGGTAAATCACCCACAAAATAGATTTACAATTACAATAAAACGTCTACGGATTGCAGGAAAGCCTTTTTTTTTTTGGGTGAGTATTTAGCATTTACACTGCTGTCTCGGGTGCATAGTGTTGATGGCATGGAGCAGATCTGCACCCTCACTTCCGCTTGGTGAGAGCGGAAGCATTTAGCATTTACAATTCTTTTTTTTTTTTTTTGGGAGAAAGGAGAAGAGAGGAAGTGTATAGAGAGAGACGGAGTCCAAGCGGTTGGAGAGAGCAGATGTGAAGGAGAGTGTAGTCAGAGAGTTGAGGGAAGTACGTAAAGAGAAAGATGGGTTTGGGAGATTCACGGAAAGAATGAAAGAGAAACACATGAAAAGAGGGTTTGTTAAGAAAGATGGTTTAGAAATAATGTATTTTTTAAATTTATTTGGAAATAAAAATAAGTAAAATTGATCCGAGATTAAAAGATATAATAAATAGAATTTTTATGCAATCAGATAGAATTTGAAATCTCGAAGTTTATAAATAAATAAAACCTAAAAATAGATAGGTTTTGGAACCTAAGTCCATGAAAAAATAAATCTGAAAATAAGGTCTGCAGAGATATTTTCCCAAAAAAGAGAAATCCAGCCATATAACACACAATATTCAATGAAAGCATATGGCTATAAAAATCGTAATAATACAGGAGCTAGAATAAATAAAACCCACAAAAATTCCATGGTACCCAATGTTTCATTTCCTCATCGATGATAGTTCCAACGCTTATATGACCACACATCATCCTCGACAACTGAATGCCCACAAATAGCACTGGTCCTCGAGAACCAAGTGAGTTAAGTAGGATTGAAAGGGACGAGACAGTAAATTACACAGATCAAAGGTCCCAGAGTTGCATGAATAATGGTTCTCAATTAATTCAACAAACAAAAATCGGAAAATTCAAGCTAAATGTCCCAGTGAACATTTCATTTTTTTTCTCCCCCAAAGGAATCAGATGTTCTAATATTGATAAATATGGTGCAACGAAAGCCATGGCTTTCCCTCTCCTCATTCTGCTCGAGATTGACCGGCACGAGAGGAAAGAATGATGCCAACAATGAGACCATATAGGGCAAGCGCTTCAGCAAAGATAAGAATGAGGATCATACCCACAAAAAGCTTTGGCTGTTGTGCATTGGCCCTGCAAATGAGACCCCTCAAATGGTTACAATCAGAATACACGTCTCTAGCGTCAGATTTATTTGACTCTTTGGATACTTTATTGTCATTTCACATAAAGGCGGAAGGACATTGACCTAATCATCAATAAAAATATTAATCTAGATCATCCATTCAAAATCTTGATGTTGTTTGCATGAGCAAGTGCGTCTGAACATATGTAGACATATGTGTCCGCCTGCATGTGTGGGGTGTGTGTGTGTGTGAGAGCGAGAGAGAGAGAGAGAGAGAGAGGTT